ACTAGTAAGGCACTTGTTACTACTAGCGAGGCACTTGTTACTACTAGCGAGGCACTTGTTTTATTTATCTTTATTTGCTTCAGATTGCGTTTCTCTATTTCTTGCTTTCCTTGGCTTTCCTTCCAACCAAAAGAATAAGCTCTTTGACGTGATTAAAGCATTGGTTCTCACCGAGCCTATGGATAATGGAGGCGCGCCATCCGCGAAGCTTCCTGTCGGTTGCCAGCACATGGAGTGAGCAACATGGTCGGAGAACAATTGAAACGCGATATCTTTTTATCATGCCTAGTTTTGTTCAGACTTGAGTCTGGAACTGGTTGAATGGGCCTGCTATCCAGGTCATGAGTCGGCCCTTTCTCTGCCGGGCCAACTTTGCTGATGGACTCACAAGCATGGTCCTTTCCAACAGAAGTCAAACTATGCAAAGCTTGTTACTAGTAGCGTCCTTGCTACTAGTAGTAGTGGCCTCCAACCCAATAACGATGGCCTCCACCTAGTAGCTTCTTGTCACTAGTTGCATCCTTGCTCAAGCTGATACTCCCCGATGCAAGAAATCACTGGTCAAGCAGTCCTTTTATGCCTCAAAGCCTGCTGAACCGATTCTCCACGGCCCAACTCCAACATCGACAGGGAGATCAATGGAGGAGAGCTGCAGCAGATGCACAGAATCAGCAGCACTGAGAATGCCAGAAAAGCTCCGAAGACCTCAATGTCAAAAGCTCCTAGTAGCGATGCCCTTTGCTCCTAGTAGCGACGCCAGGAGCCCCGTTCGTAGCGTCCTTGCTCCTAGTAGCGATGCCCTTTGTTCCTAGTAGCGTCCATGCTCCTAGTAGTAAGGCCAGGAGCCCCTAGTAGCGTCCTTGCTCCTAGTAGCGATGCCCTTTGCTCCTAGTAGCATCCTCTACACCTACGACATCGTACGCAATACGAAAAATGTCATGAAAGACCTCTACGGAGGCAATGATTAATTATGCATCGGGACTTCACATGCACCGAGGGGATTGTAGGACATGACCTGCTTGGCTTCAGCTGGCTTCCATCTTACAGTTTCCAAGCTAAGCTTTTAGAGTCTAGGAACCAAATCATTAGCGCGAGCCATCCTTTGTCCTAGGTAGCACCCCGCCACCAGCACAACGCGGAGATATATTTACGCCGGCGCAGGCGCTGGACGAGAGGGTTTAGGGCAACAGGCCACGGAGAAACCGGCCCGCAAAAGATCGTTGTTCAACCAGAGACACTACTTGCAGGTAGTACCTCAATTCCTTACTTAATTACAGTAAGTAGGCGCCTACTAAGTAGGGAGGGGGGGAACGGGCTAAAAACAATCTTCGTGGCTTTCATCCTTCATCACGAAACCCGCCAAGCAGCCACAGCAGGCCATCGAACCCAGGAGATCTTCCCCAGGCCCTCCGAAGTTCATCAAAGTGCAGGACTTCGAGGGTTTGGGATGAAAATGGATGAAGTGCGTGTGTTGAGGACTTCTGTTTCTCATAGCACGGCATGTCAAGGAAATGGGGATTGGCTCATTCTCCAGTGGTACGCTGAAGCTGCTCATGGAGTTCTTACCGCCGAATTTGGTCCGTTGTGACCTCCCCCGTTCTCCCAGAAAAATGCTGTACGTCATCCCATCTGGCATCAAATTTGCACGTGGGCCGAGAGATACCGTGTCTGAAGCTACAGCCAACTTTCTGAGGCTCCCGTCCTGACCTACTCAAGCGGCAAACATAGTTTCAAAGACTATCTATATACAGTGATTAGGCTCCTGAAAATAGAAGACCTACTTGTTAAGGGATCCTTCGCTTGGGTCGACAACCCCACGACGGCATGCTTGCTCTCTGTGCCTGCCACGAGAGCACATCGCGACTGTAGCAGCCGTCCAGGGCAAAGGACACCTGATGGCTGGTCCTCGGCTGATTGGGCTCACGGAAGGCAGGTCATTGCCATCCACCAATACCGTAGAAGGGAGTGCGATCTGCAAAGAAGTTGCAGCATGTTTCACGTCAGACAGTCTGAGAGGTAGTGTTTTGTCGATGAATTTGTGAATCTGGTCTGAATCTCTTGGAGCTGAAAAGTAGGGCCTAATACGGTTTAGTAATTTAGGAGCAAGAAGCTACTAGGAGCAAAGGGCATCGCTACTAGGAGCAAGGACGCTACTAGGGGCTCCTGGCCCTACTACTAGGAGCAAGAACGCTACTAGGAACAAAGGACTATAGATGGAGTGAATTGGCATTCACCTGACCCACGGCCAAGAGTCCACTGGCCACTTGCCTGCGCAAGAGAACTGGAGGGCAGAGGGCAACATCCCGGACACTCTTGGAGCATATCCATGTTGGCATAAACCACCCATACCAATCATTCCGTTTTGATAATACCCATCCACCAATCCATTCTGGTGTAGTCGTCTGTCATTCAAGGTGGTGCAGGAGCCACTCTTGAAGCCACCACCTGAAGCTTATGTATCTTGACCGTCACTGATTTGATCAAACAAATGGTCATTTTAGGTGTGGACAGTCTTGTAGAAACGAAGGGTGGTGACCATCTTTAATGCGATCGACTATAACTTGGATAGTTTAGATTCCAGTCTGATAACCAATCCGGCGACAACTATGAAAACATCTTCGTGCCCCTCACCAGCCAGAACAAAGTGAAAAAGCTCCCGGAACAAGCCTGGCTTGTCGTATTGCTCTCAGACAGGTTGTCTTCACCTTACAAAAAGAGTTCCAAGCAGGAGCAGGAGATGGATCCAAATGTCTTCACCATTAAGAGAAAAACATCGATTAACAACATCTTCTGCAACAACACCTGGTGTTGTTGTCATCAAGCCATTGGTGTGCAACCAAAGCGACATGTCCGCGTATGTCTCCAAAGGTTCTACAGCGAATTCGGTCAAATCCGTTTTACTAGTAGTAACAAGAACGCTACTAGGAACAGGTGCCACGCTGGTAGTAACAGGTGCCTTACTAGTAGTAACAAGAACGCTACTAGGAAC